TGAGATTCGCCTTCGACGGTCAGGTATGTCAATACACCGTCCTGCCGTTCGGCCTGTCTCTAGCACCCCGTACATTTACGAAGTGCATGGATGCAACTATCTGGACGATTGGCTGATATTGGCACAGTCAGAGACGGAGCTGTTATCTCACAGAACAGTGCTTCTCAGTCACCTGGAAAGCTTGGGTCTCACGGTCAACTGGACCAAGAGCTCATTAATGCCCAGTCAGTCAATTTCCTTTTTAGGAATAGAACTGAATTCTGTGGCCATGACGGCTCGCTTGTCGACAAAGCGCGCGCGCCCGCTCCAACGCTGGTTGAATGCTCGCGCGTCTCGCCGAGCCTGGGTTTCTGGCGGCCAGAAAATCAGAGTGACTCAGACCTGCATAGCGGCTCTGCAGCCCTGGTTAGTAGCCAACTGGTACCAGCAGGGAGTGATGATGGGAACCATCTCTTATCGGAAAGTCATTTCGACAGACGCGTCCAACTCGGGTTGGGGTGCGCTGTTCGAGGGCAGACCGGCCTTTGGCCAGTGGTCAGACCAAGAGAAGTGTTTTCACATAAACTGTCTGGAAATGATAGCGGTCGAGAACCCGCTGAAGCGCTTCCTCCCGTTCATACAGAACCAACATGTTCTCGTCCGCTCGGACAACATGTCTGTGGTTTCCTATGTAAACCGTCAGGGCGGTGTCGGATCCAGAAACCTCTGCAATCTGACGGAACGCATCCTTATTTGGTCCCAGATGCACCTGTGCTCGCTGAGGGCGGCGCATGTGCCTGGCCATTTGAACGACAGCCCAGACAAACTGTCCAGGGACAACGTTCCCCCAGGGGAATGGTCCCTGCACCCCCAAACAGTCCAGAAACTGTGGCGCCTATTCGGCAGAGTGGAAGTCGACCTATTTGCGTCAAAAGACAACGCTCATTGCCGGATGTTCTTTTCGAAGAACGAGGACGCGCTGGCCCAGGTCTGGCCCAGCCTCCCACTGTATGCTTTCCCTCCGGTCTCCCTGTTACCACAGGTGATCAAGAGAATCAGGGAAACGCACCACTCGGTGCTCCTCATAGCTCCGCACTGGGAGAATCAGAATTGGTTCCCGGAACTAGCACGGCTGTCACATGCAGCTCCGTGGCCTATTCCGGTGAGGGCAGATCTCCTCTCTCAGGCTCGCGGCTCGATCTGGCATCCCCATCCAGAGCGCTGGTCTCTGCACGCATGGTTGATCAACGGGTACTCGTTGCCCTGCCAGAAAGAGTAATGAACACGATCACGCAGTCTAGAGCTCCTTCCACGAGAAGGCTCTACGCGTCTAAATGGTCGGTGTTCTCCAAGTGGTGCACCGACAGAGATCTGGACCCGCGGACGTGCAAGGTTGCGCATCTGCTCACTTTCCTACAAGAGCTGATGGATAAAGGGAGGTCCCCATCCACGCTCAAAGTTTATGTGGCGGCCATGGCGGCGTTCGCAGAATCGACGCACGGCCAGTCACTGGGAAGACATGAGCTGGTCATCCGCTTCCTTAAGGGAGCTAGAAGGATGAATCCGCCGCGCCCCCCCGTCGGTTCCTATGTGGGATCTTTCCTTGGTCCTCGAGGCCCTGAAAGCCTTCCCATTTGAGCCACTAGACTCCGTGGAGTTAAAATACCTATCACTAAAAAAAACGTTTTTCTTACCGCGCTGTCATCAGTCAAACGTGTGGGGGACCTGCACGCGCTGTCACGCGCTGCACAGCGCGACGTGTCTTGAGTTCGGGCCGAATGACTCTAAAGTCATCCTCAAACCTAGACATGTTCCAAAAGTGATGGGCACTCCTTTCAGAGCGCAAGTCATTTCACTGTCGGCTCTGCCAGCGTCAGACAGTGAGACAGACGTGAATCTCCTTTGCCCGGTCAGGGCGCTGAGGTTTTACACTACGCGCTCCGCCTCTTTCAGGCGCACGGAGCAGCTGTTTGTTTCGTTTGGTGGGCGCACCAAAGGTCTCGCTGCCTCGAAACAGACTCTGGATAGTGGACGCTATAGCGGCCGCTTACGCGTCAAAAGGTCTGCAATGCCCTCTGGGCATCAGGGCTCATTCCACTAGAGGCATGGCCTCATCGTGGGCGTGGTCCAGCGGGATTTCTATCCACGACATATGTGTAGCGGCAGGCTGGAGCTCCCCGTCTACCTTTGTCAGGTTTTATAACCTAGAAGTTCCCGCCCTGCAGGCTAAACTTCTGTCAGTCTAAGCGAGTTGTGCGTTCTGCCCAGATATATCATGCTCAGACCACTCTCACGTAACTCAGTTCTCCTGGTTGAGCTGCACTAGTAGGGATGTGCTATATGCTCTATGTATCTGGAAGTAGGCGTCCTTCAGATCTATTGACATAAACCAGTCCCCTTGGCGAATTTGCGCGAGGATTTTCCTGGTTCTGAGCATTCTGAACTGGCGTTTCATAAGCACTTTGTTCAGCTCTCTTAGATCTAGAATGGGTCTGAGACCCCCGTCTTTTTTCGGTACCAGAAAATAGGAGCTGTTCCCGAGCCCGCTACAGAGGGAGCTGTTCCCGAGCCCGCTACAGAGAGGGCTGTTTCCGAGTCCACTGCTCCAGCTCCGGAGAGCGCTGCCCAGGAGGGTGCTCACGAGTTAGTCCCCGAGCATGCCAGCATGGCCCAGCAGGGCGCTCCTGAGTCATTCCCCGAGCACGCCAGCGCAGTCCTGGAGGGCGTACACGAGTCAGTCCCCGAGCACGCCAGCGCAGTCCTGGAGGGCGTACACGAGTCAGTCCCCGAGCACGCCAGCGCAGTCCTGGAGGGCGTACACGAGTCAGTCCCCGAGCACGCCAGCGCAGTCCTGGAGGGCGTACACGAGTCAGTCCCCGAGCACGCCAGCGCAGTCCTGGAGGGCGTACACGAGTCAGTCCCAGAGCACGCCAGCGCAGTCCTGGAGGGCGTACACGAGTCAGTCCCCGAGCACGCCAGCGCAGTCCTGGAGGGCGTACACGAGTCAGTCCCCGAGCACGCCAGCGCAGTCCTGGAGGGCGTACACGAGTCAGTCCCCGAGCACGCCAGCACAGTCCTGGAGGGCGTACACGAGTCAGTCCTCGAGCATGCCAGCGCAGTCCTGGAGGGCGTACACGAGGCAGTCCCCGAGCACGCCAGCGCAGTCCTGGAGGGCGCACACGAGGCAGTCCCCGAGCACGCCAGCACGGCCCAGCAGGGCGCTCCTGATTCCAAGACCTTCACCAATCTGGCGAAGGTCCAGATTTGTTCCTGCCTCCTTGTTTCCCTGTACCACACCCTCTTGTCTAGTTGAGTCCACGTTTGAGTGTTGTCACCTGTTCCTTGTCCGAGTGTTGTCACCTGCTTCTCATGTTCTCTGCTCCCTTGTTTGAGTCCTCGTTTACCTGAGTGTGTTCACCTGTTCCTTGTCCAAGTGTTGACACCTGTTTCTCATGTTCTCACCTCCCTTTATATGTGTTCTCTTGGTAACGCTTCCTTTTACATTACAGTACTTAACGTGTACTTACAGTGTACTTACCTAAAAAAGTACTGGCTAATATAAGGTAAGTACATGGGTTAGGATTAGGTTTAGGGGTAGGTTCAGGGTTAGTACCTAGTTATTACCCAGTAATTATAATTACTATAATAGGTACATAGTAAGTACATGGGTAACAGGACTGTAAAAGGAAGCGTTACCGTTCTCTTACCCTCATGTTTTGCCAGTTCATTATCATTGAGTGTGTTGTGCTACCTGTTGCTCATGGTTTCAGTTGTGGATAGTGCCTGGATATCTTGTCTTGTGTTTGTTGTGTTCCTGTTTGTCCCAGCCCTGCAAGCTGGCTGCTTCCCCTCTCTACCAAGCAGCAAGACCGGTGCAGTGACTGATCGTGCCCTGTGAGTCCATCTTCGTGTGCAGTATTATCCTGTCTGGCTCTTGCTGCATCCATTGGCATTGTGCAGCACATCTACCGCAGAACACCAGTGTGTTCACCTTGGGCTGGTCTCAACTGCCACCCTCTCAGCTTGCCTGACATTGTGCTTTGTTCCCTGCCTACTGTTTGGACTGTTATCACCTCCTCATCCACCATCTCTCGTCTTGTCAACTGTCTTTCAATAAAATCTGTTAACAGTCATTATGCGCTTGAGTTCTCTCTCATAGACCCGTAACATATTGATGCTCTTTTTCATCCCATGTTTACTTATCTAATTTCTTGTTATTTAATCCTATCTTATGTTATTTATTTCCATTTTATGTTAACCCTATGTGTAGTTATTGTTGTCTAATATTTGTTGTTTGCTGAAAATTTGCTGTCTTTTTGTAATCTTGTTGTTTACAATGACAATAAAGTTCAATTCTATTCCATTACTCAATATGTAAGACTATTATAGACTTTTATAATTTTGATATTATCTAGCCAGCATCTCAGTTTCCACTGGTTTCAACACATCAACCTCAGAGTACATTTTGTTCTTCAAGTGTTAGAATGTTAGGCCTGTAGGAGAAGTGATGTTAGATGTAAGAATTAGGATTAATTTAAACAGTTTACAGTTTTAAAAAAATCCATCACACCATCTATTTTCCAAACAGCTTGTCCTTTATAGGGTCACGTTGATGCTGCTGCAGCAATATAATGGATTCAATATCTACTGTATACAGTTGTAACACACATATTCAGTTGTTTGTTCTTAGTGTAATTTTCATCGACTTTTAGTTTTTATTCATTAGCCACGTGTTCCTTTGTTTGAGTTTGCCGCAACTCATCAGTTTCAATCGACACTGATCTTCATAACAGCTGTTCATAATTTAATTCTGTTTGTTGTTTGTTTAACTATCTTCTGTTATTTTGCCTGTTGGATTATTATTAAACCCTGCATTTGAACTTTATCCTGATCTTCATGTGTCTGTCTGCAACCTTGCTAAAACAGTGGGGTCCAAAGTCTAAGATAATTTTGAAAAATTTAAACAAAGAAAAGTCATAACTTGAAGAAAGTTTATTTTAAGATTCTTATATTCTTTAAGATTCTTATATCCATGATGAAGTTTAATCCAAATTACATACAGGATGAAGGACTCAAAGCTCAGAATGGTAGGCTTCTGTCTTTTCTCCTAGAAAAGAGATAATCCATGATAAATACTGTAGTCTAAACAAACTGCTGTATCTTCGTTCATCAAAACATGCACTCTCAAAAATAAAACTAAATGTGTGGGTTATGTCAGACATTCCACATTACCATCATCTAAATCTCTTGATAAACTTTGTTTTTGTAAAGTTAGTAAAGTAAGCAAAAGGAATTCACCTTTTTGCCAGTAGAGTGAGCCGATTCCTGCACCATACTCGTTTGAAGCTTCACAGATATACAGGCCACTGAGGTCAGATGTCAGTTTCAAGAAGAAGAGTTTATTTCCTTCTGTTTTAATGGCATCATTGGGGATAATATGGTGTGTGCTGCTCAAAGAAAAAGAATATAAAATCAGTTTAGTGCAGTCTGCTGGTTTTTAGACTGTAGGATGAAAATGCATACTGCCATGTGATTGTGAATGTTTAGTAATTTACATTGAAATATTAGGGCCTGTTGTCAGGTCACTCTCAGCACTTTTTTGAGGAAGCAAGATATTGTACCTAGATATCCACTAATATCCAAATGATTGAACGCAATTCCTTTCCCCATTTAACCAAGTTTCTGTTACTATATTTATTACCATGCATTACTGTACATGTTAGGATCAAGGATCTGAGTCACAGTGAGCTGTAGCTTAATCCAAAAGACAATGTGTGATGCAGAATGAATGATCAGGAATCAACTTTAATAACACAGAAGAGAAAATAACTTTAATGCGAGACAATGAATAAAAGGAACAGAGGGCTTAAATACACAGAGGAAGATCATTAACAGAACAGTAACAGGTGAGAACTAATTAGTAATGAAAGCAACTAATAATGAACTAGAACTCAGGCAAAAAGTGACAGGGAAAACGAAACAGAAAATGACTGTTACAGTTGTCACACATAGCAGAATCTGCTAAATGTTGAATTTTTAAAAGAGCAAACATTATGTAGCATTTTGTGTTTGTTTTTTATTTATAACTGAATTTGTAGATTTTTTTGAAGAACACCTGACAGTTTAACTGCTCAAACTGACAAAATGGGATTCATGAACAACTATCACAAAACAAAGGGGGATCGTGGATCATCCAGGTACACTCAGTAGAATCAAGTATATGCAAACCTTTGAACTGGATCATTTAAGTAAATATTTTTTAATTACTATTTTGCAGATTCTCCAAGGTGTATGACCACAGCAGTGCATATAAAAAATCCAAAAAATTAAACAGGTTCTCACATATTGTCTGTTAAGTTTCGTTCTTAAGGGGGCATTTACACGACACCGTTTCAAATAAAAACTAATAATCTTTTTATGTATTTTGGATATTTATTTACACAACATTTTGGGGTCTTAAAATGCACACTTTTGTAAGCTTTGCCATCTGTGTAAACTGCACATTTGTAAAACACGAGAGTACTCTCGTGTTGCGTAAGCTAGCTTAGGCTACACTACGGGAAAATCCTTTTTCTCGAGAATACTGAAGCCCAAAAATTATCCTTAATTTTGCATTAATTTAAAACGCATTGCCGCACAGAGCAGACCTAGGCAAGGTGGCTCGCGCGCGCCTATTGGTTGCTCTGCAGCAACTGCTGCAACCTATCGATGGACTGTTCGTGACGTAAGCACCAATGAGGGCGCGGGCGCCCGTGCACGTCACGTCCCGCCAGAATGGGCGTGGCTTATGTCTATATAAACTGAGTCCAGATAGGGTGTTCCTTGATTTTTCATCTCTTCAGCGAAGTGTACACATCGCTGGTTCTCCGGAGAAGCCTGCGCCGTCGACGAGCTCTACAGCGGGATGAGCCATCTGCTTCGCAGACCAGAAGCCGGCCATCTCCTCGCCGCTTCAACCGCAGTTCCTGCTGCGCTATCCGACGCCCATATCCTTTTGCTCTTTGCATTGCGTGTTTGCCCCGCGACACAATTCTCCTAAAAGAGCTGAGGCGTTGTTTCAAATGCCTCGATTTTCTAAGTGCGGCTCCTGCTGAGCCACCCTCAGTGACGGGGACCGTCACATCCTGTGCGTTTCCTGCCTGGGACAGAACCACGCGGACCACACGCTTTCCAAGGGCGGCTGCCCGGAATGCGACGCCATGGCTGTGTCGACCCTGCGGGCTTGACTAGCCACCTTCGACGTGGACCCCGCCCCTCTGCTTCTCTCGTCTGGGCCGCGCCGTAAGAAGTGCCGTTCACAGAGAGCTCCGGAGGTCATCCCTGTGAGCAAATGCATGCAGGCTAACTCCCCGTGTGCATCGCTTTCTGAGTCCCCCACCTTGATCACGGCCGGCCAGCGCCCTACCGTTCCCGCCGTGCATCACGAGTTCGACGGGGACACCGCGGAAGAGGACAGCTGTTCTCTTATCGCCTCAGAGAGCAGAAGATGGTCGGGCTCCATTCCGGACCTCGCCTCTTCCCTGCAAGAGTCGAGCGGTGTGCGGGCTAGCTTCGACGCCGAACTTCTCCGCCTCATTACTAAGGCCGTGGAGGACCTCGGCCTCGATTGGTCGCTGCCCGAGGAACCCGTGCCCAGCAGGCTTGACGGCTATTTCCTGCCCGGACGACGCTTGACGCCTCACACGAGGCCCGCTCCCTTCCTGCCTGGAACTACACGAGGAGCTATCGTGTAGATGGAAGGCGCCGTTTTCTGCCAGGCTGCGGACTACTGTCTCTTCGACGCTGTCTGTTGTTGACGGCGCGAAAGACAAGGGCTACCTCTCCATTCCTCCGGTCGAGGAAGCGGTAGCCACACACCCATGCCCGCCCTCTGCTGGATGGCAGTCCAAGCCCGCTCTACCCTCGAAAGCCTGCAGGACTACTTCGGCTCTCATCGGTCGCGCCTATGCCGCCGCCGGTCAGGCCGCTTCAGCGCTTCACTCTATGGCTGTGCTTCAAATTTATTAGGCCAACCTTCTCCGCACTATGGACGAGGGGGGCCCGAATCCTGAGAATTTCACGGACCTCAGAAGTGCCACGGACTTAGCTCTACGAGCAGAGGTGGGTAGAGTATCCAAAAACTGTACTCAAGTAAAAGTACAAGTACTTATAGAAATATTTACTCAAAGTAAAAGTAAAAGTAATAATCTCAAAAGTTACTTGAGTAAGAGTAAAAAAGTATCCAATGAAAAAACTACTCAAGTAGTTAGTTACTAGTTACTTTGGATCACATAGGCCTATATATATAGCCTATATATCATGATATTATTTAGATATTTTTTCATTTAAATGACTATTATCATCATAATTAGATAAGCTATCTTTGCAACAAAAACAGAAGAGACAAACATTATTTCTGTATTCTGTATATTACATTTACATTTATTCATTTAGCAGACGCTTTTATCCAAAGCGACTTACAAATGAGAACAATAGAAGCAGTTAAACTACAATACGTAAGTGCTATAACCCCTCTCAGTTTAATTTTAGTGCAGGTTTTTTTTTTTTTTTTTAATAGAATAGAAGAGAAGGGAAAGTGTTAATTCTACTGAATCAAGTGCTGCCGAAAAAGATATGTCTTCAGCAGTTTCTTGAAAGTGGCTACTGACTCAGAAGCTCTGGTTGAGTTAGGCAGATCATTCCACCAACAGGGAACAGCCATGGTAAAGGTCAGAGAAAGAGATTTTGTGCCTCTTTGAGATGGTACCACAAGACGACATTCGCTAGCAGAGCGCAGGTTTCTGGATATTATAGCCCGAAAACCATTGCCTGTCCTTTGGTTTGTATAATAGTATAGTAACTTATACAACTACATTTGGATTATTAGACAATGTCGGAATAAAGTGACTCTATGGAGTTTTGCATTCATAAAGGGATGGGAACCATTTGTAAGTATATCATCAACCTGTCCAGGGACTGCAGGCGGAAATTAGCATTTTTGCTATAACCTGGCACATGACATCTCTTCTTTCTTAGATTAATGTTTTTTGTGCATTGTCCCTGATCAAATAAATAAATAAATTGACACAGATTAGAAAGAGTTAAAACTCTTCACATGTGCTCGCAGTCATGTCATGCCCAACACAAACAACGATCAAATACACGGATCTTCTTCTGTCTGTTCTCCAAAATGTATTTAAGTGTAGGCTATATTTATGAAAGCATCTTTAAACTGGTTAACTGAGTCTAATAAGGCAGGCAAAGGCATTCGTTTTCAAGTCGAGTTCGCACGCCACTGCGCAATACACACATTCATAAACTGGACGATGATAGCTTATTTAATGTATAAAGTAATGTATATGTCCGAAAAAAGGGTAATGCCATACTTTGTAGTAGTGCTAATAATCTGTTTGGTTGTAAAATGTATTACCTGAATGAAATGGAATCGAATGTATCGTCGTGTGAATTCATTCCCAGACAGCTACGAAGTAACATACGACGATGTTCAACTAATAAAGATCTTCATCGCTGGCAAAAAATATGATGCATTTGCAGATTTACTTTCTAGACTGTACTGTAGACTGTGGACCGCCACTTCATACAACGCTCTTGCTGTTCTTAAATCTTCCTGTTACGACTCCGAGATGATTCAGTGCGTGCAGGAAACTGAACAGATCATTCAAACTGATTCGCGAACCGATTTAGACAGATCTGCCCAACTTGTTTGATGAAGTCTTTGAACAGAATCGACTCAAAAGAGTGATTCATTTGTGAATTGAGCATCGCTCATGCCCAGAAAAAAGAGAGAGCGCGCGCTTAGAATAAACTACGCTTTTAACAACATATTGCATTAAAATAAAGTAACGAGAGGAACGTCGCCCAACGTAACGAAGTAAAAGTACCGTTTTTTCATTAGAAATGTACTCGAGTAAAAGTAAAAGTACCCACAGTTAAATCTACTCTTAAAAGTAAACATTTTCCAAAAAAATACTCAAGTAAATGTAACGAAGTAAATGTACTTCGTTACTACCCACCTCTGTCTACGAGCCACCAAGTCCGCTGCACAGGCGATCGGGAGAAACATGGCGTCTCTCACTGTCACCGAGAGACACTTGTGGTTAACCTTGTCCGACATGAAGGAGTCCGACAGAGCCACTTTCCTCGACGTGCCTGTGTCTCCATCCGGTCTCTTCGGCCCGGCGGTTAAAGGCTTCACTGAGCGCTACTCTGAAGTCCAGAAAACGTTGCAAGCCATGCGACATTTCATCCCCAGGCGCTCCAGTTCCACGACAGGTCGCTTGAAACAGCAGCCGCCTAACCGGAAGACAGCACCACCGCCACCTCCGCCGCCAGCATCACAGCGCCGTAATCCGAGGGATCCTCAGCAGCACTCGCGCTCTTCAAGCCGCCACAGGCCGCCTCCCCCCCCGGGGACCCAGGCCCAAGATAGCGCTGAAGCCTGAGCCCTAAAAGTCTTCCTGACCAACCAGAGAAGACAAAGATGGTTGAGTCCCGCCGTGGCCGGACCGCCATCAAAGACAGCACGCTTCGCTCTCTCAGTTCCCTTAACAAAGGCGACTGGAAAAGTGTATTTTACAGCCAACGAGCCCGTTACACGACCCGCTCGCCTGTACCCAAAGGTCGTTTTCACGGCCAGCCAGATAAATCTCAAAAAGAGCCGTTTGTCCGGCTCATGCCGATGGTGTTATAAATGTAGGAAATGTGCCCACTTCCCAGTGTTCACCCTTACACATAAGCACGGCCCGCTCAATGACACACACTCATTCACGGCCCATATCAATAAAACCGGCTCACGCCGCGTGTGTTCTAAATGTAGCAAATGTGCCCACTGTGCAGTGCTCACCCCTACTCACAAACACTGGTTGCCCTGTGACACACACTCACTCAGAACTCTTATCAATAACGCCCCATCACAGGCCTTTCTTGCGATTCGCCTTCGAGGGCCAGAGCTATCAGTACACCGTCCTGCCGTTCGGTCTATCTTTAGCACCCCGTATACATTCACAAAGTGCATGGACGCGGCGCTCGCCCCCCCCTGAGACTAAGGGGGATGCGAATACTGAACTATTTGGACGACTGGCTAATTCTAGCCCAGTCAGAGACAGAGCTGATAGCACACAGGGCTTTATTGCTCAGCCATTTGCAAGTTGTGGGTCTCCAAGTCAACTGGACCAAGAGCTCGCTGTCTCCCAGCCAGAAAATTTCCTTTCTGGGAACAGACTTAGACTCTGCATCAATGACAGCGTGGCTGACGTCACAGCGCACGCTGTGGATACAACGCTCAGCAGCGTCTTTCAAGGTCAGCAGTATTCTCCCTCTCAAATGCTTTCAGAGGATGCTAGGCCTTATGGCTTCAGCCTCGGCAGTGCTTCGGCTGGGCTTACTTTACATGCGCCCACTGGCTGAAAATGCGGGTCCTGCTTCGAGCGTGGACGTCTGGCCGTGTTCGCCTCAAGGTGACCCAGAACTGTGCTACAGCACTGGAGCCCTGGAAGGTGTCAGACTGGTACCAGTCAGGCGTGGATCTGGGAACGATCTCGAAACGAAAAGTAATCTCGTCAGACGCCTCCAACTCAGGTTGGGGCACCCTCTACGAGGGCAGGCTGGTCTTCGGCCTGTGGGCATCCCTACACATAAACTGTCTAGAGATGAAGGGGCATTTTCTCCCCTTCCTAAAGGGCCACAATGTCTTAGTCCGCACAGACAACATGGCGGTGGTGTCCTACATAAACCGCCAGGGCGGTCTAAGATCTCGGAGCCTCCACGAGCTGGCAGAACGCCTCCTCGTGTGGTCTCAGCACAACCTGCGCTCGCTAATGGCGGCGCACGTGCCGGGCTGTCGGAACGTAGGTCCGGACATGCTGTCTAGAGACAACGTTCCCCCAGGGGCAGGGTTCCAGACTGCGCATATGCGACCATTTTTTGAGAATGTGCGAGTTAAAATTTTATGTGGTCGCATTTGTGCGAGTGCATGGTCATGTACTCAGTTAAATTCACACATGCGCAACAGAACGCCGTTGTATCAGCAGCTGCTGCAGTCCGTATGTTCAAAATTAACGAGTACATCATGAATCCATTTTCCAAACCGTGCTTTTGACATATCCTGAATCACTACGGTACGCCTATAATAAGTGTTTATATTCTGACTATTTTATCCCGGGTCGGCTCGGCTGCGGAGTTGCCCAGTGCCTGCGTGACTCGCCATAGACATTAACGGAGAGAAGTAGCTCCGGCTACAATGTTCTTCCGCAAGACACTTGCAGTTTATTTATTAACGAACGTACACGTCACGCGCAGTGCACACTGATGGTGAAACGCGCCAATTAGGAATTAAGTCATAATAAGTGTGAGTTAAATGTACAGTGTATGACATGTAAAAAAGACAAGAGGCTAACAATGTCAAGATCAATATTTGTGTAGCCTGAGTCTGACACAGTATTTTCACACTGCATCCGTTCCAGGAGCGGTGCGAAGCAGTGCAGAGATCGTTTACGCACGAGTCTATTTCTGCTATGCTGCACGCGCTGAATTAAAGTGACAGCGCATAGTTCATGGTCAAAATGAGCACAAATTGACATGACAATGAATTTCATCATAAATGCATTTAATTGAATAAAATGTAGTAATCTCACCATAATTTAATTAAATACTACTATTTCTCACATTTTTTAAAATTGTAATAGTTTTTTTGAGAATATTTTGATTTGATAGTTAAAAGATTAATCCCATTTTGCTAACATGAGGTCTTGTGTCACTGTCAGTCTTTTCACATCAGTGCAAAACTATGGTATGCAGATTAAGACCACTATTTATCAGCATGCATTGATTAATCCCATGGCATGTAGCAAAAAAAAAAAAAAGTGCGACCAAATTATATGCTGGTGCGACCAACTGAGAAAGTTGGTAGCACCAGTGCAACCAGTGGAAAAGTTAGTCTGGAGTCCTGCCCAGGGGAATGGTCCCAGCACCCTCAGGTAGTCCAGTTACTATGGGACACTTTCGGCAGAGCGGAAATCGATCTCTTCGCGTCATCAGAGAACGCGCACTGCCCAATATTTTTCGCAAAGGACAGGGACGCGCTGGCCCACAACTGGCCCAGCCGCCTGCTATATGCGTTTCCCCCGATCGCGCTGTTACCACAGGTGATCAAGCGAATCAGGGAGAACAAATGCTCTGTGCTCCTCGTGGCGCCGCTCTGGAGGAACCAAGGTTGGTTCCCGGAGCTGATGCAGTTAGTGAGCACGGCCCCGTGGTCTATCCCACTGAGGAAGGATCTCCTTTCTCAGGCCAAGGGCGCGATTTGGCACCCCCGCCCCGACTTATGGGCCCTACATGTATGGGCCATCAACGGGTACCCGCTGATCTCCCAGTAGGAGTGCTGAATACGATTACAGAGGCTAGAGCGCCCTCTACTAGAAGGCCACCTCGAAACAGAGCCTTTCCAGATGGATAGTCGACACTATCGCTCTGGCTTATAATTCTAAAGGCCTTCGGTGCCCTTTAGGCATTAGAGCCCATTCCACCAGAGGCATGGCCTCTTCATGGGCCTAGTCCAGTGGGGTTTCACTCCAGGATATTTGTATGGCGGCAGGCTGGGCCTCTCCGTCTACATTTATAAGGTTTTACAACCTGGAAGTTCCTGCCCTACAGGCTAAGCTGTTTTCAGTCTAGAAACGTATCTGACTGACAGACTGTATTTTCACGCAGCTCAGGCTGACTTTCGTCCATCCTGGCTGTTATACTGTGCTAAGCACCCATTTTATTAAACATATATATGGCTATGTTATATTCTTAGGCCCACTCCTCATTGGCCTAGATATTACCCACTATCATGTGTACCCTGGGCACATGCCCTTGGGGCCATGTGTGGACGACCCTAGCACGCACGGCGTTTTACATTGGGTTCCCGTAGCGTAAGCTAGCTTACGCAACACGAGAGTACTCTCGTAAGAGAACGCTCTCTGTTACTAACGTAAACTCGGTTCTCTCTAGGTGAGGGAACGAGTGTTGCGTAACCCTGCCGTGCTTGTACTGCGTTCTGGTTTCGCTTCAGTATGAAAAACCAAGGAACACCCTATCTGGACTCAGCTTATATAGACATAAGCCACGCCCATTCTGGTGGGACGTGCACGGGCGCCCGCGCCCTCATTGGTGCTTACGTCACGAACAGTCCATCGATAGGTTGCAGCAGTTGCTGCAGAGCAACCAATAGGCGTGCGAGCCGCCTTGCCTAGGTCTGCTCTGTGCAGCAATACATTTTAAATTAATGTAAAATTAAGGATAATTTTTTGGCTTCAGTATTCTCGAGAAAAGGGATTTTCCCGTAGCGTAAGCTAGCTTACGCAACACTCGTTCCCTTATCTAGAGAGAACAGCGGTTGTGTTAGTAACCGAGAGTGTTTTTAAACTTGATTTTTCTGGTCAACAACAATTTAGATCCTTTTCATACAAAATGTAGAAAAAAAAGTTGAGTACACACAAATATTATGCCAAAATACAGGACTTTTTACTATTTTCACCAATTAAAATTAATTTACCCCAATATTAGTTGGATCAAATTTTGATATTTAATCCCATTAAAATAAGATCTAGTTTTGATCTTTTATCTCTCCTATTACATTTTCTTTTTACCTTAATATAATAATACATTATGGTAAATGCTGTACATGATAAAACTTTTTTTTTTTGAAGTGTTGAAAATTAACAATATTAATTATATTTGAGCCCCATCATCTCTACTTTCATATTATATTTCCTACCTGTGCCATCTGAAGTGTGTAGCTGGAGGATTGGCATCTGCCTCACACTGATACACTTCAGTATTAGAGAGATTTTGGAACGGGGTCACAAAGACCAGCTGAGGGGGATCTTTAAAACACACAAACACAAATATATGACTGCAAAGTTCTTGCATACAATCCAGCTAAACAAATTCCTGTATAGAATCAGTTCAAATGACAGATCAACTGACCAATCAACAACCAATTAATAAATCAAATAATAAATGTTTAAACTGGTGGATAAAAAGATAAATCAACACTTACAGTAATGAAAAACAAATAGGCCTATGTAAATTGAGAATACAATGCTTGTGAAAAGGAAGTATGCTTAACTGTATTGAATGTGCACTTGTACTGTACTTCAAATCTTAAAAGTATTTTTTTAACTACTCGTAGATAATATATTAATGAAATAAAAAGGTAACTTAGCATACTTAAGGGGTACACTTTTTATTTTAAAGGTGAAATGTAATTTCAAATTAAAAGTTTTACTTTAAAGAACACTTTAAATAATTTTGCTTTAAAGAAGTACACTTATTTTGACATGTTGTCTAACATTCTAAAGCGCAAACTGAATTCCTTAATTATAATTTTAACTGTAGTGTGTTATTACATTTAAATTATATGTATTTTAAATTAACTAAATTGCAACGTCAATGCAAATGTGTAGTTACAAATACATGACATACAAAATAAATTAAATTATATTTTGGTTCACCATAAATTGGCCTACTTGTCAGTACATTTAACCATATCTTAAAGACAATAGAAGTAATTATGAAATAATTATGTAAATAAGTATGTGAAAAAATATGTATAAGTTCTACTTAAGTGAGCCAAAACACTCGGACAAAACACTACAAAACACTGTAGTCACTCGGACTATTTTAATGATGTCTTTAATAACTTTTCTGGGCCGGCAAGTTTCGATCCCTTAGAAGCTTATGGAGGAGTGATCCAGCTCTCAGATTTCATCAAAAATATCTTAATTTGTGTTCCGAAGATGAACGAAAGTCTAACGGGGTTGGAACAACATGACGGTGAGTAATTACTGACAGAATTTTCATTTTTGGCTGAACTGTCCCTTTAAGTTCCACTAATTGTCTTTAATATAAATTCAAATTAGAATACATTTTTAATTATTATTAAATAGCATGCAATTAAGTGCCCAAAAATATTTAATTCAGTTTGCACTTATGTATTTGTATTTCTGCAATAATACTCTTTTAAAAGTATGGTAAAGTGTTCTTCTTTAAATACTGAATGTATACATAATACATGGTAATTTTTAGTCAAATTAAAACTTGATAAAACCATTTTTACTTAAATTTAGCAGACAATTTTATTTAAAGTTCTTCTGTTTATTATGGATCAGTGGAAAATGTGTGTCATCGTTTTTGTCACTACCCCTTTAATTACCAATTACTGTGAACCAGTTGAGGCAGGAATTGGCCCTCAAGTGACAGAGATTTGTGCAGTTTGTGTCATATAAAGGATCATGTCACTTACAGTGCACAACGATCTTGTGATCAATCCTCAGTTCCTCTTTCAACATTGCATGTCTGATCACACACTTGACAAGCTGTTGATTCATCTGTACAGTCGGAGTAGCAATCAGACTGCTTTTGACAGTCAACGTCCCATCCAGATGTTTCACAGTGCTGGTCGATAGCTTCACAGAATCAGATAAAGTGCCCAAATGCCATGACAACTCAGCAGCAGACTGCGCTGTGGAAGCTGTGCAGGTCGCCAAAGTAACCTCTGAGCGTCCCGCCAAAGGGACCGCATCCACAGTCACGCTCACATTCATGGGGCTCGGAGCTGGTGGGGACCATGAAAAACTAGATCAGTCAATCAAACCTTTTAGCGCATTTTAAGTGGAAAAAAGAGAGATTAAAACAAACATTTAATTAAAAATATATGTATATTTAGACCCTTGTATGTGATAGATTTAATGGGATTTGCAAACTCAGTCCTGGAAGCTACTGTCCTGCAGAGTTTAGCTCTAATCCTGATAAAACTCACCTGCCCCTTCTATAGTAATCCTAAAAGACTTGATTAGCTGGTTCTGGTGTGTTTGATTAGGGTTGGAACTAAACTCTGCATGAGAATGCCCATCCAGGACTGTGTTTGCCCATCCCGGTTTTAAACAAATAATAAACACTTGCAAATGAAAGTGTTTGCTCATGTGGAATATTTCTTTGCTGTTACCTGTCAGATGCTATCACAAAATAGCACTAGAAAATCATAGTAATTTTCTGAAAGCAGTCTATTAAAAAGCCAGTGACTGCAATGTGGTTGTTGTTGTTTCACAAACTCTTCCCCAAATCATTCCCAGCCAAAATTCCACTGTCCCAACCAAAGATGAATAGCTAACCTAAATGTTTATCGTTCTGGTCATTTAAAGTTGGAACGGTTTGTGACCACGACCATTGGCTATCTGGGTATGGTTCTATACTCTTCCGCTCAGGAAACATTTTCTGCACCCCAATTTTCCAATTTAGTCCTAAAAGTATATGCACTCTTTTTGTAAAAAAAAAAAAAAAAAAAATGTAAAGGCCAAAAACATATTTATAAAAGCTCACAATATTGTTGCAGATGAAGTAAATATTTTTCATCAGGTCATATTGATTATTAATCACTTAAACCCCTTTATCAGTGCATACACTTTTTCTGGGTACCTGTGAAATACCCATTTCAACATAATCAGAATTGGGACACTAATTGAAACTTTTAGTCAGGCCCGGCTCCTCAGGGGACCAGGGTGGGCCTGGCCCACCAAATCAGGAGCTTGTAACCAGATAACCAATCACAAAATTGGTGCACAGAGTCGTACCAAGTGATCCCAGAGCAGGGCCATCCTTATAGGAACTGCACTTGAGGAGACCCCGCGGCGAATGGACCGAGGCAAGCTCAATTTTGGGATCTCTGTATTTATAAAACTCTGCTGGTGAAATGGTCAATCAGCTCCAGATTTTGAGGGAGATCATGCTTTTCTTCCACTTGGTATCATAAATCTGCTTGTTCATTAAAATTTATCTGATCAAAACTAACAAGTTAACCATTTTACAGCTTGTAAAAATAATGCTTTTGTAACGTGGTGCGGTTGAAGCAGAGAAGAGGCTGGATCCAAGTGCAGCACACGCTTTATTTAACAGACTACAAACTATAAAGACTAGACTGGATACAAGACTCAGGAACAGGATACAGGAACAACCAACACTAGCATTAAACAAGAACTCACAAAGACAAGGCTGAAACACAGGGCTTAAATAATCAGGGACAAACGAGCTAGACAAGATAACAAGGGGGCGTGAGAAATTAGAAACACCTGGGATAACTAATAGACAAGACAGGGAACCAAAGAACATGACAGGACACAAACCCACATCGTGACAGCTTTATACTTTCTATAAGATTTGTTTTTATTATTATTATTCATAAAAGACTAATTCATTTCAAAGCATTAAAAAAAATGCATCATTGAATTTGTGAAAGAATTTTATAAAATGAACAGTGAGGGAATTTTTTTACTTATGTGGTCCTCAATATGAGCGACAATGAGGCAGAAGTACAATGAAAGTATCTAAAGTAATTTGGTAACACTTTACAATACGGGTGCACTAATATGCATTAATTCATGTTTAACTAATGCACAGATAATCATGAGTTAATGTATGATTCATGAAGAACTAAACCATTAATTAATGATTACTGCATCAGCAACTAATAAAGAGTCTATATGATTAATAGATTAAGTAATACATGAATTGCTATTAATTCAATGTGTCATTGTGTATTAATTCCTTAATAACATATTTTATTAACTAATGGTGTAAATTAATGTGTTAATTACCACAATTAGTCAAAGCTATGCACTTCAACTTCCAGTTGTCTGCTTTAATTAATCATTAGCTAATGATTTGCAAAGGTATCATTATGTTATGACTTTACTTGTTGAGGCACATCGTTATTAACTAGTAATTTAGTAATTGTAGTAATTTACACATGAATTTGCACTAACAATGAAGTAATTAATCATGTATTAATGCATATTAGTGTACCTGTATTATCTGGAAGTTGAAATACAAGGCTTTGGCTCATTCTGGTAATTAACATATTAATTAACACTATTAGTTAAAAAAATGAGTTATTAGGGAATTAATTCACAATTACATATTTAATTAATAACAATTCATGTATGAACTAATACATTAACCATACAGACTCTTAATTAGTTCCTAATGTGGTAATCATTAATGAATAGCTTAGATAATCATTAGTTACACGTTAATTCAGTATTATCTGTGCATTAGTTAAGCATGAATTAATGCTTATTAGTGCACCCGTATTGTAAAGTGTTACCAGTAATTTCAAGATGTTTCCTGTCATTTTAAATGATTAGAATGCATCTACGACAAACTGACCATCTAAATTAATCTGATTCAAACCCATGTGAAATTTGAAAGATATTTAAAAACTTTCCTTTTACAAATAGATGTATTTCTTTCCTTAAAATTTAAAAATAAACATAAAACCAACCAAATGTCTTTAATTGTTTGCATTTCTGAAGAAATATGTTGAACACCAAATTTGTAACCTTCCCCCAAAAACAGACTAAACAGAGAGTTTGAGTAATATTAAATAACAACTGAATTAGGATGAATAAATACATGTCACTGACACTATTAAAACATTTTAGTCAAAAGATTCTTGGCATGCAGCTTTTCGGCAATGTCGAACATGTTAGGCAATTAGGGACTACAGGTGGAAAGATATAAATGATTATGGTGAAAAGTATCTTCTGGTTCTCATCAGAGAAGCATTTGGTGTAGCTACTTGTATATATATGTGATAAACACCTCCAACCCACCATGAATAGCCTATCACTTAGACAACCTTGGATCTCAAAGCTGGAGCTGGGCCTGTTTTAGGATTGATATAGCTATGGGAACAGCTGCAGCAACACTTTCATTTCCCTGTCATGCAGGAGGCTAAAGAAGAACCACTTATTTGTGTCTGTTATTGTGTTTTGCTGTGTATGTATATGCTTAACAGATACCCCATTATAATTGTGAGGTTGCATTCCTGTAATTAAAACCCTAAAAACCACATGGCCTGTTTGTTTAGATTTGATGACGCAATATATGGGCATTTCTCAGATTAAGGGCCAAATTGGGTTGCTGCAATTTGGAAAATTAAAATCCCAAATTTGACTAATTGGTATACATCAAATTATCAGTCCTTAAGTCAGGTACAACGTTATGAGCTTGGTTGAGACCATAAGATAAGGGAATTTATGATTTTTTGCCATTTTTTTTAACTATGTCAAGTAAATGTGTCATTACCATCACATCATCGAATGTATGTAAAAAAAATTAAACTTAAATGATAAATCAGTGCTTTTAAAACATTTTGTGGTTTCACATGGAATCTATTTTATCTTGAACTTAATGGGATTGTTGATTTTTACTTGCAAGATGAATTATAGTCATTTAAGTATCTACATTTCTAATTCATCAATCTACCCTGGCTTGGAATATAAGCTTATTTTAAGTGAATGCCATATATCAAAACTTTTTTAATACAGTGATAATTTAGACTGTCCAACTTTGTCAGAAATATATAATTGTAGGATGTTTTTGTAATTTATACATAATTTATTGGCAAAAATATGTATGGTGATGGTGATGGTGATGACATTGCAGTTCTGGTAATGACAGTTTGTTGCGGTGATGACAAATCACTGATCATAACCTATTGTAATTTAAGAGCCTAAGTGACTTCAGACCAAAAAAAAACAAAAAAAAACACCAGCTATTAATCGGTTTAAACATCAAAACATAGTTTAATCTGATTATAGAAGACCAAACAGGAACTGTGTGTATCTGCCGTCATCACCACCACAACCTGTCATTACCAGCACAAGCTGTAATGTGCTGGTAATGACTGTGCTGGGAATGACAATTTAGTCAAAAAAACTAGCCTTGCTAGCAAAGATGATGACTAAGCAAGTGTAGCTAGCTTTCTACATAATGTACACCATTTTACCTAATAAAGTGATAAAAATAATCCAAAAATGTTTAAAAATACAGAAATACAACACATATGGTAATGACGCATAATAAGTGTACATACCCAACACAAAGAATAAAGAGTAGATTATTACTTTTCTGGACATCAAGGCATCAGTCTTGCAGCTTGAAATACATGTGCTCCACTATGCTATTAGGTTTACCATGGCTACCAAATAAACTTTTGATGAAAAAACAGTTAAAAAGGGCCTTTATGCAGAGCGTGTTGGTAGTGACAGCTAAACCATGGGACAGGTAGAAATTAAGCAAAATAAAGTACAAAATGCATATATATGCTTAATCTATGCATGTAGTTTATTAGTTCAGGTAACATTTAATTCATATGCATATTTTTTTTAAAATTAATTTGTGATAAATAATGTTTGAGATATGTCACGTGAAAACTCTGGTGGCGGACAACACCAAAACACAGATATTGTACCACACAACACCAATAAAATGTGTTAAAATCATTAGTAAGAGCAGCCATAAAATAAGTCTAAGCTTGTTTTTGTTTATAATTAGTGGTGCTAAAATGTATTAGATTGAATTAGTTTTTAATAGAATTACGCCCTGTGGACAGACAACCCATTTACGTGAGAACAGGCTGGGACAGAAATAGGCCAGAATTCTGAGAAATATATATCTCTGCTTTGGAAGCATATAATAATAAACATTCCATTCGCGACATAATACCTAACACAGATGGGACAGGATAAAGATAGATAGAATGTTTCCTCAATGAAAATAAGAACTTAACTGGTCCCAATTATAAGATGACTGAAAAATTGTATAGGTTACACTATAGAGTCATATAGGCTATTACTAGTTTACTGCATAGTGAATCGTGAGACGAACATTTTCATCATATAAATACTTTTCATATAGGCTATATCAATATTAGTAACATTAAATATTTTATTCAAAATGTCATACTTTCTCATTACATTCATTTTGAAACAAGAAGAGCGGTCTGACGCTCCCTTCACTTCGCGCAAAACGCGGACAGTGGCTCCACCGCCTCTGAATAAGCTCTCTAAAAATGGTGTTGTGTGTTGTGTAACTTCACCTTTCAAAAAGAAAAATAAACGACATCAGTGCAAGTAAAACGCATCATCAGCTAAGCATTTTCTGCAAACTATTTACATAATATGTAGGCTAAATATACATATTTAAATATTCTGTAAATATAGGCTATATAAGGTGTAGCCAGTTTGCAGAAAATGCTTAGATTATGCGTTTTATTTGAACTGATGTCGTTTAATTTTCTTTTATAGGTTTGCACTTGCTTCCTTATCAGTTTAAATTATATAAAGTGTCGATCCCTAACTAATAATCTGTCATCAGATTACTTTGTGCACTTTGCCAATATTTACCCAGACCGTGTCATGAAAAAAAAGATTCTTACAGTTGTTTCACCACGATATTATTTCAAATTAGGAACGTATTAAACAGGTTAATCACTTACCTTCTGTCTTACTGGTGAGAAGAAAATAAGAAACAATAACAGTCGTAATGAAGTGACAGGAAAACATGTCTTTACGGCACATCATCCGCGTTTAAAGAAAGCGTCACATGATATTGTCATCTCCGGTAAACCTCACTGGGGAGTGTGTGTGTGTAATTCCCTAGCTTGGAAGCAAAATACTCGAGCACTCTGATAATAAATAAACAACACACACACACACACACACGCAAGTGCACACACACAGACCGAGAAAACGTTCTGCATGAAATCGAAACTCTCTTTGATTTTAGAATAAAGAGAAGTGTTTCATTAAGAAAAATGCAAAATTGAGATTTATATTTTAAATCTTAACTTTTTGCCCCATCTGGCTTCGTAATTCCCATTGTAAAAAATATGTTTTTTTTTTTTTTTTTAGCTGCACTTATGTTGTAGCTCCTCTACATTTATCTTACATCTCCTAAATACGCCCCGCATCTTCTAATTGGCTTCATCACTCTCTCCTCTCCACCCATAAGCTGTTGTGTGGTGTGTGTGTTCTGGCACACTATGGGCTCTAAAGGCAAGTAACTTTTTGGGTCTCCGTCTCTGTTGCTATTACCGGCGGGATGATCTTGCGCCCGATGCAAATCTAAAATGAGTTGGTCTGAACTCATTGGTGTGGTTTGGGCGTAACGTGCGATAAAACAATCAGAGCGTCATCTCACATTCCGTTTAATGCTGCATTCAAATTCGCGTCTATCGCGTCTAGTTGGACGCTTGAACATTTTGAATCCATTCGCGCGTCCAGAGCGAATAGGACGCGCGTAAAAAGCAAAGTTTGATGCTAAATTGACGCGCGTCTGAAGCGAAATCCGCTTCTTGTGAGAGGGGCTTTGTGCTAAGCGGTTGTCTTTTTGCAAGATGGTGCTCTATCAACATAGAGCATTCATCGAGAGAGTCACCGCTCTGTATTTGCTCTGGAGAGCAGAACCGGTGTAGGAGTCCACCAGACCCTCCGGAGGCTTACCCAGTTGTGGGAGCTGCGTCTGGATGACGGCCGCTTTCAGCGGTACTTCCGCCTGTCCCGCGCCTATTTTGATGACCCGTTGTCCCGCATCGGAGCGAGGATCACCCTCGCCCTCACCCACCTAATATGTCATTTATTTTTGTTTAGATGATAAATGGAGCCAGCCTCCAAAAGTGATTAACCTGTCCTGTGATTTCTCTTTTTCACACAACACTGTCCAGACACGAACGTATGTTCTCATGCACTAAAGTATGTTGGTTGTCTTTACATTAGAATAATTATGTTTCATATAATCTAGATTAGATACTGAATAAATAGCATTCAAAACAACATGAATATGTCTCATATATTGAAGTCTAGTTTTTATGTGATGAAATATTTTCTTTGTTGTGCATTAGAACCACACCAGGCATTTAGTCATATTACAAAATAATGTATTGAGGCCAAACATCTAAAATAATTTATTGAAGCCAAACATATAAAATAACAGGACCTCCAGACACACGTAAATGTGTATTTACATTGACTTAACATTGAAATCACTCATGCCAGACACTCTATTCGCGTTTGGTGTGAACGCAGCTTAAGAGCAGGCGAGCTTGTTCCATGGCGGATTGCTATTATAATGGCGGATTTGCCAGGAGCACGCCATAAGCGCAGCGGAGGAGACTAAAGTTCTCGCCAGGGCCATAAAATACATAGAAGTGACATTGTATGGGGATGGGAGAAACCCACCCAAATTAGCTTCGGTTAAACAGGCGTATAATAATTTAGGTAAATGTGTAAGCTAGATTTATAGCTATTTTTTCACATCTTCATGGACACCACAATGATTTCCCTCGTGTGGTAATATTTTTCCTTGTAATTATGTTTGGTTTGCAAAAATGGGAACTGCTGCGTCAATGAGAGAAGCAAAGTGTATGCGCGTTGTGCACACACTACATTATGGCCAAGCATGCGCCCTTAAAATAGTATCTGAATAACGCGCCACTGACTTTAGACTAGGCTTTTCCTGGTCTGTGGCGGAATTGTTTTCTGAAACTGCAAAATAGCACCAGGGAACGTTTGCGCCGGGACACGCCTCCTCTTTTCGCTGAACCCTCCGGGAGCGCAAGTTCATTCCCTAATTTACCAATGTGTGTCTGTGGAGGGAAAAGTGGGTCGATGTGGGTCAGGTGCAAAATAGGAATGATACATGCGTCGGTGTACAAAGTCAGTTGCCCTGGGTGCAAGACCTGGGAGCAAGATTGCCCTGCCCAGCCCAGTCTCATCCCAAGACGTCATCTGTCTGAAGCTTTTGACCATACGTCAACTTCCGACGTTTTAGGGTACCCTTTAACGTCAGTTAGATGACGCTATCTAATCCTAACCCTACCCCAGACCTAAACCTACCCACGTCATCTAACTGACGCTAAAGGTAAAGCGTCAGTTAGATGACGCCCTAGGATCGTCATCTAACTGACGTTAAAGGGTACCCTAAAACGTCGGATGTTGACGTATGGTCAAAAGCGTCAGACAGATGACGTCTTGGGATGAGACTGTGTTACCCTGCCTGGGTGCAATCTATGGGTGCTTCTCATTTCTTATTTGTGCATCCTCGTTTCCTTTCCTCGCGTCTCAGCTCCACCCCCTGTAGGATACGAGGGAAGGCTGCAAGGAAAGAAAAGGAGGACAGAGGAATCGAATGAAAGCTTTTTTTATACATTGGAATACTTGATCACTCGAGCCGAGCGTCACTCCACAGCTTCATCAGCAGCGCTAAAAGGATCTGCCCTTATGTTGTTGAAGTTTGTTTATTTAAGACATTCATAATAGCACATGCTCCCACGGAAGAAAATGTTGAACAATAACCCCTGAAATCAGGGACGTGCACAGGAATTTTGAGGGGCAGTTGCTCTGACCTGAAAAAAGGGCACACTTTCGGGGGAAAATTTCGGGAAAAAATACAATCCTTTTTTAACCTTTTGGCTTCCCGTACATTCAGTTGTGCTTCTTGCTGGTATTCAGTTCTGATGGTAGGCTACGGGCAACTACGCATGATTTGTAGTATGATTGCGTAAAGGGAACAGGAATTCCGGTAGGGAACAGAATCGACTGCTAAACCCAGTGCCGATCCTGACCTCTCCCTGGGGCCCTAAGCAAAATTCTGTTGGGGCCCTCTACCTGACCTGTGACGCCGTGAGCTATGTAAACCATTTGCCATTGCCACACAGTCACACCTGACACTTCAGTGCTCCCATACAATCCTCCCTCCTTTAAACAAAACAGTCAAAAAATAAGTACAACAAAATAGAACAGAATGAGGTTCAAACAAACAATATTTATTGAATAGAGTATTTTCTATAGAATGTTAAGATAACAAGTGAATATTAACGTAAACATAAATAAGAAGAAAATAATAAATTATAACCCTGAGCTTTGGCTTTTGGGATTAACTTTGGTTCTCTCTACAGCCTGGGTATTTTCGGCATCAGTATGATTTTTTTATTTTTTTATTATGCATGGTGAAGCAATTCTTGATTTATGGTTATTATTTACTGAGGGATGTGCATCCATATTGAGCAGTATGTCCAGCTAATCAACATTTTAAATTCAATATAGCCTATAAATCAATAGTCAATCAATGTCAAATTACAATGTCAATACATTGCTTTCTATCTTGCATAATTAGTGCAGTTGTTTAGAGTTTTTAACTACACTGAGACTAGATAATCAGTGTCTTGTTTTATAATGTGTACTTTGATTGGGAGTGCCATCATTCACGTGCATGTATTGTACAGTATGTCTGGTCTCCACATATTTCTGCTTGAAAAATGCGAGTTTCATTTCGTGCACGCGCTTATGAACGCATGATAACACACGCGACGCGGTTATGTTTTCCGAGCTGCAGTAAACAAACACCGTTCCACTTTGTCGTTTATCAAAAACAAACGTATTAAATAATTGTATTTTACTCTCACTTTTGTCAGGCACAAAGTGATGCACTGCCTGCCCAGCTAGGTTAGCAAGACCGAAAGACATCAAACTTTGCTGACATCAAACTTAGAGAGGAGAGAACACAAGTTTACCTGATTGTTGTTCCCGCAATTCACTCTCATGTATTTTGTTTTTTCTTCTTCCTCTTTTCGTGACCAGAAGGATAGTTTCGCGTCGTTTTGTCATGGATGTTGTACACATTAATTGACGCGCTATGACACAAGATGGAGGCGGGGCCTTAAGTAATTTGCGGGGCCTTAAGGCCAATTTATACTTCTGCGTCGGGTGCGCGCAGTAGGTACGGCGTAGCATACGCACAGACGCGTACCATACGCCGTACCCTTCGCCGTAACCTGACGCGCACCTCCTCAAAAATGTAACTACACGTCGCGACGACGCGGACCACAAGATCTGTGATTGGTCGGCTTGGTAGCATCGCGTTTCCTCCTATGCATTTCCGGCGTGTTCTTCTGCACCGCCCGCCATTTTTAAATTCTAAGTACAGCGAAACTGTTAAAAAAACTAAAAATTTACCTTTTCCACCTCGATAAGCTCCAACTCCAACATGATCTGCTCTCTTTCAGTCGCCATTGCTTGTAGTAACCTAAACTCAAAACAGCCGCGAGGAATCTTCTTCTTCTTGCCGCGAGGAATCTAAACACAGTGGAACATTAAAACCCTCCGCCGCCAACTAGCGTTTCGGCGCTGTACTGCAGAGCAACGCAGACCTAAACGCAGAAGTATAAGTGCTCATGACGGCGTCGCCTACGTGCGTAGCCTACGCCGTACACTACGGCGTACACTCGATGCAGAAGTATAAATTGGCCTTTACGCACCGGTCGCGTGCAGCGCTGCAGCCACGTAAACAGTTTGCACTTCCCTTACTGACTTTCACTTTCGGTGCCCGAATGTGAAAGTTTATCTAGGCCTACGTGAAATTCTGCATCCATTACGATTTTTTTTTTTTTTTTTCTCGGAAGGGCAACGTGAGTCGAGAAGGGCATATGGGCAGTTGCCCGGGCAACCTGAGCAACCCCCCTGTGCGCACGTCCCTGCCTGAAATGATGACTTCTGGTGAATATTGTATGCTATCATACATTATAACATATTATAATACAACTTATTAGGCCTATATA